TAGTAACAGTATTAGTATCTTCCTAAACTACTCCTATAGTAGCTTACTAGTAATGTATGAACATGTATGTATACCCTTGAGCTGAATGAAAGAAGGAACCTTTGTATCTATATACTTATACATAATATATAACTAGGATTCAAACGAACTTCAGACATATAACCCTAATACCCTAAGTCCACAACCAAACAAGGAACATGAAGTAAGGTGTGCTATCAGTCCTAAGTCCTTTCAATCCTACTTATATAACTATATCTATATAGATACACATTTAACAGAATATAAGTTTAAAAGAGTTTAAGTAAAAGTATTTGACATGAAAAGGAGTTTGTAAAACAGTTTGAAGTAAAACAGTTTGGTAACACAGTTTGAAAAGTAAGAAATCCACTTGTTTGGTAGTTATTAATCACATGTGATTGATATAATAACTATAATAATTCAACTTGTATTCCCCCCCCCCCCATAAAAACATTTAAAAACATTTAAAAGGTTAATTAAGGGGTATGAACTCACCTGTAGTGAGTGGTTTGGATGAACTGATGATATAGGATTGCTAGGTGTCAAGTGAAGACTTGTACACACACAATGATCCTATTTAACATATAACAACACATATATGTATCCAATTAGCTTTAAACAACTAATTAACAAAGTTAAGACATCCTAGGGCATGAGAAACACCTTATATAAGTGTTATAAGTGCTAAGGATTGCATCTAAATGTTGTAGGACATTGCTATTGAGTTTAGGGTTCAAGGGAACCCTTTATATGAGTTTACGGTTTTGTGACCATAACTCATTGAGTTTACGGTCGTAAACCCATGAGTTTACGGCTGTAAACTCATGCTTCTTTGACCATGTGTTGTTTTGAAGCTCTACAAGTCCTTAGAAGCATTTCCACTTGAAGTATAAGCCTATGGAAGTGATTAGGGCACCATTTCACTCCTAAATGGAGTTTACGGTCCTTGGACCATTTGCCTTTGGGTTTACGGCCGTAAACCCAAATGGTTTATGGTCTTTTGATGTTTTCATGTACTTAACTCATTAGGTAAGGGATCTATGCAAGTTTCCAAGGCTTAGAAGGGACTAGGGCACACTTTGGCACCCTTTTTAGGGTTTACGGTCCAAGGTGTTCTTGGACCGTAAACACCTTTGATCCTTGGTTTCCTTGGTGTTTTCTTGATGTATAGAAGTGTAACAAGCCTTATTATACTCTAGGATAGAAGTACTTACAAGATAGAGGCTTGAAAAGGTGCTAAAAGTCCAAGAACACTAGTGTGTGTTCTTGGTGTTCTTGGTGAAACTTGAAGATCTAACCTTTTGGAATGATTGCACGGATGGAAGTGTGTTAAATCACTAGATTAAGCAATATATCAACTTAATAGGGCTAGAAACACTTACAAGTTGAAGATCTTGAAGAATTGTTGGATGATACTTGAGAGAGAATTGAGTTTGGATCTTGAATTTGTGAAATATGGTAAACAATGACTAAGTGTCATATATATACCCCCAATTTAGGGTTTACGGCCGTAAACACCTTTGTTTAGGCCGTAAACTCCAACTCTTGGAGCTTTGAGACTTTATTGTTGCACAATAAACCCTAGAGCATCCTCTCTCCTGGTATCTCCTGTAGTACTAATCTTAAAATACTCAAACTTATTCTAAAAAGCTTGAAAATTTGCAGAAACAGTTTTGACTCCTATTGAAGTGAATGGTTGTACAGGATAGAAATTTCGGGTTGTCACAACGTTACACCAATCTTGAAAAAGAAACAAAATTAGTTGAATGATATTTTAAGGTTCATTATTTTTTCGTTGTTGTGAATATGACACTTGTTTCATTAGAAACTAAATGTGAACAATTAAAAAAATTTGAAAGTACTTTGGATTTTTATACGATTCAAATAAAATTGAAGTCATTAAATAAAACTAAACTTAAAAAAGTTTGTATAATGTTTGTGACTATTTTTTTTAACGACAATGTATACGGTGTGGATTCAATTTTTTTTTCTAGAATTAAAAGCGTTGCATATGACTTTGCCTATAATATATTTTCTGCTGTTGAAATTTTGAAATTTGTGAAAGTTGTTGATTGTTACCCAAATGATTTTATTGCATATAGCATATTACCGACAATTCATGTTACTATTGGATCAGCAGAAATAAGTTTTTTCAAAATTAAATTTATTAAACTTAATGTCATCAATGTCATATGAAATGTTGAATTGTTTAACAATATTAATTATGTATATAGAAAATATGTTAGATAAAATTGATCTTGATAGAATTATATATGATTTTATCTAAAATGCTAGAAGAATTATTTTTCTTCAAATTAATTGTTTTTATAAATGTTGTAGGTATATTTGTGTTATGAAAAAAAACATTTTTAATGATCTTGTAAATGGTGTGTCGATTTTTGAATTTTTATTATATTTATAACTCCAGGGGACCATTTTATTATTCTCGTCCCGTGCTCAAAGTATGTTTGGACCGTCTAACAAATCACTACAAGAAATACAAGAATTAGAGGCGACACCTTTAGTGGGATCCACCGCTAAAGGTCTAGTCGTCACTAAAGGTGTCACCCCTAATACTCGTATTAGTGATCCGTGTGATATAGTCATGTTTAATTCCTAGCCGTTAATTGCATATGTCAATCTAACGACAAAGACACGTTGTCGTAGAGGCAATATTGTTGACTTCTTTAGGGGCGACGACATGTCGCCACTAAAGCTCACGAAAAAATTATCGGGAAACTTTCCCCCCAAATATTAATTAGATGTGTCGCTAAAGGTCATTATGCATCACCACTAAAGGCATCAACATTATCAACGTCGACGACATTGTTACCGGTGACAGGAACGGTGACTCATAGTGGTTTTAGCGGCGACTTTGGATTATTATCGATGTCTCCAATAACGGAGAATTTAGAGAATTAGCTACACAACATTTGTGGAGACCAAATAGCGGCGACTTGTAATGTATTTCGCGACATCAAATATCGCTGCTAATGCTCTTAATCCTTGTTGTGGATGAGCTACTCGAAACATTTTTTTAAAAAATTTTGCTTTAACATCGGATAAACTAATAAGTATTTTTACAAAAAAAAAAAAAAAAAAAAAAAACATAACTTGTTTTTAAATAAGCAATCCCGAACACCCCTAAGTTCCATTAACAAAATGATAGAGTATATGACCATGTCAAAGGGACACGATCGAAGTCTAAACAACCTCCATGTTCACCACCACAAAACCTTTCATCAAAACAAAAATATACATCAAAGTACATTACCCAAACATTCGTCATCACAAAAATAATTTCCATATACTTCGGAACACTTCCGGTAATAATTCTAACTCTTATCCTTTTCTTTATAATGGCTAAAGACTGAATTCTACTTAATCGAATTTAAAGTCAAAATGCATATTGTCTTTGAGCTTTTTTCCGTAACTCTTCTTAGGATCTTTTATCTTTTATTTCATAAACTAGACGAATACCCGCGCGTTGCGCATTATACAACAATATATTTGAAATCTTTACAAATATATGTCTTTTATAAATATATCAATGACGTTGATGTTAGTCTTTATATAATAAATCTTATAATAAGTTTGGATAACATTGGTTGTTTTGAATTATATGATAATGTAGATATCTTTTAAAATTCTATAATCTCAATTGTTTCAATGGTCTCTACCTGCGGGTTATTCATGAATAAAATTAAATAAAATATATGGTTTAATGATATTTATAGATGTTGTTATGATTAATTAATTTTAAAAAATTTAGTTGCTTATGATTTTAATTTATATCATTGTAATTATTTAAAACATTAAACATTGTTTTTATTTTTAAATATAACAATATAACTTTTGTATATAATGTTACTTTTACCTATTGTTGTTCTAAGTTATTTAAAATAACGTATTTGGAAACTCTTAATTAATTTAACTTGGTTTTAGAAATTCAATTTTTTTTAAATTTATTTGATGAATATTGTTAGTTTCTTTGATTGTAATTATTTAAAACAACAAACATTGTTTTTGTTTTTAAAGATAACATTATAGTTTTTTATATAATATTATTTGTAACTATTTTTATTGTAAGTTACTTTTAAGCTACTTATTTGAAAATTCTCAATGATTATAAAAAATAGTTTCATATTTTTTTAATTGGATTACAATTAAGGTTTAATACTAATTTATAACTTTTAACTATTTATAAAATAGTCTCTCTATTTTTTTCAAGTTTAACTGAAATAGTTTCATGGTTATAAAAAATAGTTTCATAGTTTTTTTTTAATATAGGATTACAATTTAGGTTTAACACTAATTTATAACTTTTAACTATTTATAAAACAGTCTCTCTATTTTTTTCAAGTTTAATTGAAATTTTGATTTAAATTAACCGTTTAACATTATATTGAAATTAATATTTAACTATTTTGCATAAAATCATAAATTATATAAAAGTTATGACTTATCTAAATTAATAAGTTAACTATAATATGTTAAAAAGTTAAAGTTATACTTTTATAAATAGAAGTAAAATATGATATTTTAATATTGTAATTTAGTTAATTTATGATTAGAATTTAGTTTTTGCATTAACTGAACATTATTAATCAATTTATATTAACTATTAGAAAGAAATTAAAAATTCATTTAAATTTAATATCTCTTTTATAAGTATATATAAACAAATTGTTTCTTTTAGCAAATAAAATCTTTATTTTCATGCTTTCCTATGTATAGCATTATATTTAATGTTTATATCATAAAAATGCAAACATCTTTGGCCATTTATTGATTTGAAATACAAAATAGAATTTTGAGCGAACAAAAACATCAAACAGGTGGCCAACAAGCCATAACGACATACATATATGTATAACAAAATAGTGACAAAAACATAGAAGTAAGCTTCTGGACATTATATGCCAACTTGACCCTTCAATCGACTCGACTGAATATTATTCATGCAGCTTCATTGAGCACCATCAATTAGCGAAGTTGTGTGGCTTCATCACCACATATAACTCGTTCTTTCTTTGAACCGATGCTCCAAAGAGTTCAACCATGTCAAGGTCATCACCCTTTGCGCCATTTGGAAGTTCCCAGTCAAAGTAGTAGAGCATATGAGCTAACGGAACCTCAACATTGGCTATACCAAGAACAGCTGCTGGACACATCCTTCTTCCGGCTCCAAATGGCAGATACTCGAATTCTGATCCCAACACATTTGTGGGGTTATGGCTAAACCTCTCTGGTACGAAGCTATCAGGGTTTGCCCAGTATTGAGGATCCCTATTGATTGCCCAACCATTGACCATAAGTTTTGTCCCAACGGGTATATCATATCCTCCCAGTTTGCATGCCTCTCTACATTCTCTAGGGAACAACAGCGGAAGTGGAAGATGCATCCTCAAGGTTTCTCGCACCACTAGCTTCAAGTAGTCAAGATCCTGAATGTCTGCCTCTTCAAATCTTTCTTTTCCTTTAAGAGCTTCCCTGAGTTCGGCTTGAGCTTTCTTCAGCACCCTTGGGTTCCTTATCAGTTCTGAAACTGCCCATTCTAATGTTGCTGAAGATGTATCAGTGCCCCCTCCAAACATATCCTGGATCATTTCATATTATTAGTAAGCTTAGCATAAAAGTACTTATCAAATCACTTTTGTCCCCCAAAAAGGTTAACTCACCAAAGTTACTGCTTTGACATTCTTTGTCGTCAACTCGAATTCGCCGCTAGCTTGGAGCCTTAGTAAGACATCGAGAAGAGACTCCACTTCATTTGATTCTTTATGTTGCCCAGGATGTTGGGTGATAACGTCGCTAAGGATCTTGTCGAGTCTCTTGTGTATGCTCTCGAGCTTCTGTCTCTTGCCAGTGAGTGTGTGGATGATTTTCTTGGATGGAAACACGTCGGCTACATCAAACCCTCCTGTTAGGTGAAACAGCTCTTTCACAATATCTATAAACTCTTCTTGGTCTTTGCATCCTTTACCAAATGATGTTCTACATACTATCCTAGCAATGGTGTCGAAAATCATTTGTGAAAGATTAACTGGTGAACCAGCTGACTCACGAAGGGTTTTGACAAGATTATAACACTCGTCCTCACGAATATAATGAAACGACTTTACTTTTTTGACACTCATAAGCTCTAAGGTCATAAGTTTTCGTAATTGTCTCCAGTAATCACCATAGGGAGACCATACGACGTCGGTGTTTTGGTATGCGACAATTTCAGTGGTTAAAACCACTGGTCTATCTGCGAAGGCAATATCATGAGTGGTTAAGACCTCTTTAGCCCAGCGTGGATCGGAGATAATGATGGTAGAAAGCTCTCCGAGTTGTAGATGCATGAGAGGTCCATATTTCCTGGCCAAGTCGCGGAGACCATGGTGAGGCAGGGAACCTATCAAATGGTGCATGTGTCCGATTATTGGGAGTCTCCATGGCTCTGGGGGAAGGTTTTGTTTTGATTTGGAAGGGCTGAATAGTTTACGGACGAGGAAGACAAAAAGGGCAAAGGCAAGGAAGGTAGTGAGAGAGACTTCCATGGCTGAAGATGGAGAAAGTATATATTTGAGTGTTGGGTGGTGTTTAAAGGATGAGGTTGAGTTCCATATATATAGTTGATGAAGTTCACTTGAGGACAGTATCACTGGATAATAACAATTGACTCGAGTCCTCGATTCCCAAAAAAGAAAGGAAAAACAGATTAATTGATTAAACACTCTTCGTTTTTTTAATTTAATTTTATGTTTATTAATTTAATAAATAAACTTACATTATCATATTGAGTATTCAAAAAAATGGGAAAATGACTTATATGTGTAATTAATTATTGCCTTTGTATTAATTTGTTTTTTTTTTTTTTTTTTTTACCATTAAACTTGTTGTAGGTGTTCACAGAAACCATTGAAACCGGCTATTGAAGGTTTCAGACAATTTCTTATCTCCAGCGACTCTTCGGTCGTCTTCTCCGGCAAAAATGAGTTTTGTGACGAATCCTTGGGTCTCGGCTGGATGACTTACAGCAGCAAGCAGCAGGAGGTGGTGATTGTGGTTTACCGGCGGCAAAAGGAAGGTGGCAGGTGGGTTCCGGTGATGGCAAGAGGAGGTGGCAGGTGGCTTGCTGCCTCGTCCCTTCTTCGTTTTTCTGGCAGCAAATCAAGAGGAGGGAGAGAGAGGGGAGGGTGGAGAAAGCTAAGCAACAGCACCGACGGTAGGTGCCGCTTGGATGGCAGTTGAGAAAAGTCCGCCGGAAAAACTCATTTTTGCCGTAGGCTCACCGGAGAAGACGACCGAAGAGTCGTCGGAGATAAGAAATTGTCAGAAACCTTCAATAGCCGGTTTCAATGGTTTCTGTGAACACCTACAACAAGTTCAATGATAAATGAGATACAAAAAAAAAAAAAAAAAAAAAAAAGAAAGCGATCAAATGAATACAAAGACAACAATTAATTACCCTCATAAGTCATTTTCTCCGGAAAATTTACATATTGTCGTGGTCATATTATATTACTAAACATATTTTTAATCTTTAACATGTTACCAATATTAAAATAATTCGTATCTTGTTTAAAACCTAAAATGAGGTACATAAAAACCTTTATATTTTAAACATTTTTTCGGATTAATATTTGTTTCTAAACTTTTTAATAAAAGCATACAATTCTGATATTCGTTTTTCAAGCCCACCGCATTTAATTAACTCCTTCATTGAGTACAACCGGTTTCTTGATGTGTTAGTTTTAGATGAATCATACGAAAACGTTATATTTTGTAATTTCCAAGATAATTAACACATTTCTTTGTGTTAAAAGGGGTGGGCAGACGCATAATTTCATACCCGGTGTGATACGGGAAAAAAATAGTAGTTACACAATAATAGAAAAAAAATTAATTTTTTTTTGCATTGCGTACACGGAAGTCAGGCGTTGCCGGTGCTATTGTGGGACACTATATGAAACCGCCCATGTGTGTTAACTAGGATGCTTCATTATATTTTTGGCCACTTATCATAGAGACCGGTTTTACCAGAAAAGATTAAAAACGACCGTTATATACAGATAAAGAGTAATGAATTGATTTCTTGTATTGTTATTTTGATACATGTACAGAGGGGATTTTTATAGTTACTGATACAACTATCTATAGAAATGATATATGCTAAAGTGGGAGAAGATACAATAGTAATTGAGTTTGATAATATAAAATATATGCATAATATTATCTCTTAATACACCCCCGCAAGATGGAGGATCCATCGGAGACTCCAATCTTGGATCATAGACGAAGGAATGGAACACGGCTTAGAGGCTTCGTGAGTGCATCAGCCAGTTGATCAATGGAGTTGACATGGCGAACTTGGATCCATAAGTAACTTTTTCACGAACAAAGTGATAATCCAAGGCAATATGCTCATACGAGAGTGATAGACCGAATTGGCGCATAAATAAGTTGCTACAGAATTATCACAATGCAAAGTGGGAGCTACCTTTGAGGAAAGTCCCAAATCAAGGAGAAGATTTTGAACCCAAGATACTTCAGATGCAGCATTTGTTAAGGCCTTATCTTCAGCTTCGGTGGATGATCTTGAGACTGACTTTTGACGAGCAGACCTCCAAGAGATCACATTAGAACCAAGGTATAACAAATACGCAGTAGTGGAGTGACCACCACACGCAATATCTCCCCAATCTGAATTAGAGAAGGCTTTGAGATCCATTGAAGAGCCTCTACGTAGGAACAAACCGTGATAAATAGCGCCTTTTAAGTACCATAGAACCCGTTTTAATGCTTTTCAGTGGGTCTCAGTTATTTCAAACATGGGTAAAAATTACATTTTTAATATGGCTAAAACATTAATACCAATTATTTCAAACATTTCAAATCATCGTTAAGTAAAACATTTATCAGAGTTCCTCCCAAAATCATTCATTGTGGAAATCATAGGTACGTGCACTGCGATCAATCCGAGCTCTTCTCTTCCAAAATGTTGATACCTGAAACCAAAACTGAAAACCGTAAGCACAAAGCTTAGTGAGTCTCCCAGAGCATAGCCCACATGCAATCCACATAACACATATCATATTAGCTATAAAAGCTATCTCTACCACATACCACATATGAGTTAGCTATAAAAGCTACCTCTACCACGTATCACATATCAATTAGCTATCAAGCTATCTCTACCATTAGCCACGAAGGCTATCTCTACCGTTAGCCACGAAGGCTATCTCTACCGTTAGCCATAAAGGCTATCTCTACTGCATATTACCACATACTCAAGTCACACACCTCTACTCAACAAGTATACCAACTATCATAAAATGGGTCGGCCTTGGTGCCTTAGACCCATTGGTATGGTGAGAAGACTCACATCTGAAATGCTGAACTGGTAAGCTAAAGTCAAATATATCCCACACGTTGCTCTTGTTGGATTAATGTCTAAGTCCATAACTATAATTGGTAAGACTTGACCCGACCCGGCATGGTCCATTTGGGTTGCATGGCATCGGGACAATTGGATAGACAAGATGAGGAAAAAGGATACTAGTGATTTATATTAATATATTATAAGTTCTAATATATTAATATATAATCATATTATTTAATTAGTATTGATCAAGAATTAATTTATAATTAATTAAGTGATCAAAATGAACTAATTAAATATGGACTCTAAGATATATGTGTGTGATGGGCCAAGTTCATTTAGGTTGGGCTAAGCTTTCATGGATAGTCCATGGAGTGTTTAACCCATGGATCATATGAAATGAAAGGTCATGGGTATTAGGGTTTAACCCTAATCTCCACACTATATAAAGATGTTCTTGGTTGGTGAAATGGGAACTAGTGTGTATACACAAAAGGGCAAGACCGATTTCACTAGAGAGAAAAAAAGTATCCTTATTCTCAAGGTTATTCCAAGTGTTCATGGTGTTGTGTGAACCATTTGAGGTGTCACACTTGGGGCACTAGGCACTCAAGCTTCATGAAGACAAGTTACATAAAAAAAGGTATGTATTATATCTATTTTATTACCCAAGTATATGATATTTGTATGCTAGTATAGGGTAATATCTTGGGAACTTCATATTTGCATGTATAATAGAGAAAACATAGATCTAAGGTATTTAGGGTTGTATGTGTGTGACATCCCCATTTTCACGGCCAGAAAAGACCGATTTTTGTTTATGCTTTATAAAAATCAGAGTACTTTTAATAAAAATGTTGCGGAATTTGTTCCCAGTAAAACATGAAAAATACGTTATCAAAGCATTTCCGAATAAATGTATTTTTATTCAGTTAAAACATTTGGGATGTCATCGTCAATACATAAACATAAGCATAAACAGAACTTACATTCATTTACACTAGTGATCTACATCTCTTTTAAATCTCTCAGTGCAAAGTAGCTTCGTATCGACACCTGTGATACAAATAAGCTGGAGTGGGTCAGGTTGGGAAACCTGGTGAGTACATAGGGTTTTCAACCTACAATAATATAATTATTATATTTAAACATCAAACAATCAACCCGATTACCCATCCCTGTTATCTTCTTTGATATTCCTTAAAGAATTATCTTAAGGCTCATCTCCTATATCATATTTACCTCTCATCTTTCTACCTCACATTTCCTTATATGCTCGTTCCTAAGGCATGAATACGTAGTTACAACGTTGCCTGAACTCGTAACTCATAGTAAGGGTTAGAGTATCATCGCATGAATATACAGTCACCACATCACCTGGACTCGTAATTCATCACCTACAGGTTATAAGTCTGCTGGTGTTTCCACGGGTTGTCTAGAATATTCCGTGGTCGCCATCTATACTCTAGTAGATGACTACATCTCCAAATTGTCGGACAGGGTTATAGTATCTTTCATCCTACATCACCGATTCATCATCACCTATCCATCACCTAATTATCATCACCTATCTCTCATCATTTTATTTCATCACACACCAACTATTTCATCTACCCATGTTTTATCCCAATGTATTTGTAGATATAAAATAAATATATATTTAAATCATTTAAAACATGTATAAAATCATTCATCCATCATCGACAGCAAGTATTCAGATAATATGCACACATAGCACGTAATTTATATAAAATACTTCATATCTATGTGTAAGATGAAAGGGACCGTGCACTCACCTGTTAAAGTGATGATTCCAAACTCAGACAGCGCTTTGTTACTCTTAAAACAATTTCCTTCGACAAAACAACGAGTTTTTATTAAAAACCGGGCTTCGCTGGAGCAGCGTTTCCGAGCCGAAAGCTTTTCTTCTAGGAGCCGTCGGGCGCCCGGGGCTTTCTTCTCGTGCTAGGGAAGTTCCCTAGACTTGGGAGGGGTTTAGGGAGGTTAGAGAGAAGTTAGAGAGAGAAAGAAAGGTTTGAAGGTGTGAGGAAATTATGAAGAGTTCATCTCTTATTTATAGGAATTGTATACTAAAGTAGTCTCCAAGCTTCGTCCGTAACTTTCGCATACGAGCTTCGTTTTTGTCTGTCTTTTTACCGTTGAGTTCCTATTAAT